TGTCCTACTTCATTTTCTTCTCTATAATTATCTAAAGTTGTGAATATATATATATATATATATAACTTTATAATAAAAATAGATACATATCTCCATAGGTAAAAGTTTTAAAATCAGATTGTGATGATGAATGCATAACTCTGAATATATAAAAGTGAACTGTACAAATGGGTGCATCTGATCTTATGTGAATAATACCTATCTAAATAATGTTGTTAAAACATATTTGTCTATTTAAGTCTTTACGGCAAGAATAAAAAGGAAATGCTTAGGCCTGGAGAGGACCTACGAGATCACCCAGACCTGTGCTCCCATTTTGTACATCAAAGCAAAGCTTGGGCCCAAGCCACCAGTTCAGTGACAGCCAAAAGCAGACTGCCATCCAGCTCTCCTCTCAATCCAGGACTTTATGCTACCACTGCTGCTTCCATTCAGCCCACAGAGAAGCTATGGCTTAATCAACCCTGATCTTATAAATGCTGTTTTATGCCCCCAGGTTCATTTTAAAAATCAAATGCTGCTTCTACATAAAAATTTTATGAAGCACATAGGGAGAGTGAGTGAAATCAATGGGAATCTATGCAATAGCAGATTTCAGCTCCATGTATTTGAGTGAAAGCCGTATTAACTATATTTCAGTGAAGGAATAAGCATGCTCATGATGGCTGAGGTTGCTGGAATTCAAGAACTTAGACAAGGTGGAGCTAGATGACTTCCAAGCTTCCCTGCTAACCAAGACTTTATTCTAAATGAAAGGTCAACAGCACAATCATGCTACGACTGCAACCTGTAAATGTGCAGTCTTGAAATGATCCGAGACAGAGCCACTACCAGTGAATTTCTCTCCTCGAAGGTGCTTCAAGGATAGCAAAGGCCTGGGATCTACATAAACTATGAGAAATTCTATTACTAATGGTTGAGTATTTAAGACTCCAAATATTCAAATATCTACAGCGAGATTGGCAAACACACAGTACACATTAATTTTCCTATCTTAACTCATTTTAATATATTAATTTAAAAGTTCCTGGGGTTGAGGGTGTGGTGCAATGTTACAGGGCTTTGCCTAGCGTGCACAAGGTCCTGGGCTGTAATCCCTAGCACTACAAAAACATGAAATAGAATAAAAATAAAACTTCCTACCATAAAGAACAGACTGGATGGATATGTGCACTAATAATTTTAGCGATGCCTCTTGTCAAGAAATCCCAGATGACAATTCTGCCGTCATTGCAGCCGACTGCAAGCAGCGTGCCCCATCTGTTAAAGGTGCAAGTCAGGGCCATACTGATGCAATCCAAAGTTCCATCAGCTTCCTAAAAGGTACAAGAAACAAAGAAATACGGACAATAACAGCCAGGTAGCTAAACTGTTTCTGAAAAGTTTCTATCATTTATGATATTTCTCTTTAATCTGAATACAATAAATACCAAAATAACATCCACACATCTTCTTATACCTTTTAAATTAGCTAAAGTGAAGACATATTTATAAAAACTAAAGAATTTTGGAAACAGATGTGGTCAATCCCTTTAATTATCACTATCACTCTGTGAAAATATTTCAGAGGTTAAATGGGCAATATAGAACAAAAGCCACTTTAAAAGTCAGACATATTAACCTAGTAACTACAGTTCTGGGAATTTATCCCCCGCAAATAATTTAATACAAAAAAAAAAAAAAAAAAAAAA